TAACCCTAAGCTAGAGTCTCCACTTGGGGTTAAACACCACCCAATTACAGCTCCGTCCCGAGTCCAACCGATTCTGCTCCAACGCCCGGACCACCTTCCGCCATTTGTATGGCCGATTTTACTAGAATCGCCTGCGAATAATACATAGGCATTCGTGCAGACCAGAGCATCAAGCCATAGGTTGGTGCATCCCGAGTTGATTTGTGTGTTCCATTTCCGGAAATTAGCCACGGTGATGCCGGCCTTGTTTGCAATAGCATCGCACGAGTCCCCTGAGACAACTTTGTAGAAACGGCTGCAGTTGGACACGATGCCGGGCATGGGTGTAGCAGCGCCGGGAATGCTGACGCAGGCGTAGTAGTCCTTGAGAAGATTGTTGTTGCAGGCTGCATTAGAAAGACGTGTGAGCAAGCTGCAAAGGAGAACAACCGAGGTCGATGTGTGCAGGGTTACAGGGGAATGAACGTACCGGAGTTGATCTGGGTATTGTAGCTGCGGAACATGGCTACGGTAATCTTGTTCTTCGCGGCGACCGTATCGCAGGTGTCGCCGGAGGCAATCTTGTACCATTTGTCACAGTTTCCCACGGCACCGGGCAGCTGGGGCGTGTTGGTCGGCCCCGGCGTGCCGGCGGTCGTCTTCGTCGTTGTTGGCGTGACGGCACCGGGGCTGTGGGTGCAGACGTAGTAGTCGAGCCAGAGATTCGAGCATGAAGCATTGATTTCGGTGTTCCAAGCCTTCAACTGCGCGACGGTGATGCCGGCCTTGGAGGCGACCGAGTCGCACCCATCACCAGACTGGATCTTGTAGTAGCGGTCGCAGTTGGCGGCGGCTCCTGGCATGACGGGGGAAACGGTCGGGCCTGGGGCAGCGGTTGTTGTGGTGGTAGTCCGCATGGTGGTCGTGGGTACAGCGGCACCGGGAACATGAGTGCAGATGTAATAGTCAGCCCATAGGTTTGTGCAGCCGGCGTTGATGTCCGTGTTCCAGGTCTTCAGCTGAGCCACCGTGATACCGTTCTTCTGGGCGATGATGTCGCAGTTGTCGCCAGACTGGACCTTGTAAAAGCCATCACAGTTGTCGACCACTCCAGGCATGACAGGAGAAACAGTTGGCCCAGAAGGAGCGGTGGTGGTAGTAGTGGTCTGGAGAGTTGTTGACGGCTGGGAGGTAGTGGTAGGCTTCGTCGTGGTACTGGGAGTGGTACTCGAGGGCTGGGACGGGGAAGTGGTGGGCTCATCGGGAGTAAACTCGCCGACGACGCAATAGTTTTTGCCCGCCTCAAGATTGGGGCAGGTTACACCGGGGTTGATGTTGATGAACTCGTTGACTGAGATGCCCCAGCTAGAGGCGAGGCTCTCGCACGTCTCACCACTCTCAGCGGGCATCTCGAAGAAGCACTCAACACCCCGGCGGACATATAGCCCCGCCGAAATCAAGGCCGGACCCCAGAAGAGCCCGGCCAGGGTTGCAACGATATGAAGACGCGTGAAGTGCATGATCCACAGCGTCTGTCGGATGAGAAACGGGGCAGTTAACCAGAGACCAGAAGCCAACTGAAGGCGGATGAATTGTCCTATGGGAGATGAATGGGCTCTTCTGGTATCTCCAGTAAATGTTAGGCAGGCAACTTATACTTGGTGCGTCGAGAGACGCGGACTTTTGTTCGCTTTGCGGTCTGATGATCCAGCGTCACAACCATGAGTGTGGCATCGTGACTCGAATAAGTTTTCTTTTCGACCGAACTAGGCAGGAGAACGGGATACCCGTAAGAGTTGAAGAATTGCACCAAAAACGAAGGTGTCCCGCATTTGACCGAAGAAGGGAAATGAAGTTGGGCAATAGTCTGCTGACTGCAGTCAGTCCTGGTCCTGCGAGGCGGTGAAATTTGTTTCCGTTTGTCTCGCGTAGTTGTGCCTACTTAATTTACTTTGTCTAAGCCTGGTTGGCGATCCTTCTACGGATAAGGCTCCCGCTACTTCGCAAGGCAACTCTCCGTGGAGCGAGGCTGACAGGGCCTTATTCTTGGACGAGGTCATCTTAGAGTGTGCGGCGCTTTTACGCTTAACCGGGGCGAAAGTTACCCGGTACGTACCGCCTTGGTAGCATGTAGCATAAGCCAAAAGTGACTATTCAACACTTGACAAGTCTGGGTTCGCGAAGGCTTGAACCAGAGACCAAAAGGTACAACACTATCGAGATTTTCACCAAGACACACCTTCTGAAAGAGATGGGTTGTTTGTATGCAACATAAAGAAACATCAAGCACAATCTTGTCATCAGACGCGTATTTAGCCGGTAGCATATCCGTACCATGCTGCCGATCTGAAGGATCGCGCCGTGACGGTAAACGGCACGGCGCCAAGCGAGCCAAGCAGGCGGAACCTTTTGATCCTGGCAATGCGGGATGCAGGGGACTTCGGGGACGGTGGAATATCATTTGGAGCGCCACCTCCGCGCAGTCAAGTGGCATCCCGCTGCGGCCTCTTTGTCATTGGTCGCTTCATTTCTTATTCATTTGAGTCGCAAACAAACCGTGGCGCGACAGATGCCCAAGTCTTGCAAAATCTTCTTCACCTCACCAGCATCTCATCACCCTTATCACCATCAGCATCACGATAATTATTACCGCTACTAGGGACAGCAGCGACAGTCAGCCTTCAGCACAAGAACAAACCGCGATGCATCTCGTCTTTCATGCCGTGTGGACTCTCGTGGGAGCGTCGGTCTACCTCGGGGCCATTGGCCATGCTGCCGACGGCGTGCTGGATATCGGCGTGGTCTTCCCGCGCGAGAAGGAGACGTATGCGCCGATGGAAAGATTCCCAATTGTCTTTGCGCTCCAGAACGCCAAGCTGGCCGAGAACCTCAAGCCCCTGATTGATCTTGACGTCCTCAACGGCTCCATGACCATGCTCGACAAGGTCAACGAGAGAACTTTCGACCTGGAATTCGCCAACTACACCAGCGAGCCCTACCTCCTCTATGCGTTCATGGACTTCAACATCGAGGGCCCGTTGAAGCTGCTCTGGACCGCTTGGTGGAGAAAATGTGACGAGAGCGGCGACGAGGTCAGCATCATCAGCAACAGCAGCGACAAGCTCTGGGTCGACTTCAACATCAAGGAAGGCGCTCAAACCGCCGACCTCGTTGCTGACACGGCCAATAGGGGGAACTGTCCCGCCCACGTCGGAGTCGCCATCACCGTGACGGACAAGACGCACAATGTCCCAGAACCCCTTTCGGGTCAGAACAAGCAGTATGGTACTTGTGCAGTCATCGCCACCATGTCTTCGACCCCGACCTCCAACCCCTGCAGAGTCAAGATCGACAAGGCTGCGGTAGAGAGCATGGAGGCCGATGAGCAAGCCCGGAGGTGCAGACGGCTGCATCGACCCGCTGACTGCCCAAAGGAGGACCAGGCTATCCACAAGTCCGCCGTTGCAGGTGGCGCAATCCTCGCGGCTGCCCTCGGCGCCGCCGCTTTCCTATTTGCCTAATCAGAACACGGGCGGCTTCATTCCCTCATCCCCACACCAACTTGCACAAGGAGCTTCAAATGTCATCTCATTTCCGTGTCCTCTTAACGAAGTCGGCTTTGTACGTACAGGGGTTACAATCCATCTAGCCAGTAGTTGTTTCTCGAATACCACCATCTGCCTTCTCGCTTCAAAGTTTCCATTTTTGCTTTCAAATAACAGATTAACGCTTTTGAGCACACCTCGCTGATTGTCACACAATCCCAGCGGAAATGTTTACGAAGGCCAGATTGGATCACCGAGATAACCCTATGGCCAACGTATGCGGTATTTGAGGACGGCACGAGTCGGCTTGCAGGGGCACTTGCCTCTCCACACCACCGCAATCCATCTATTCAATAGTCCTTTCTCTGATGCTACTCTGTCTTACCTCCCTTACCTCCTCTGCTGACCCGTAGGTCCTTGGCACGAATATGCCTCGTGATGAACTTCACCCCTTTTTGTGAACGAGAGATTGGGGGCGAAACCGAAGCAAATGCGATCAGTATGGCATCAGACGTGCTTATATAACGTCGGGTCTATTGCGAGCAATGGGTCGAATAGCATCTGGTATCCGACCAAGATCTCCAGTTCTACTACTCAAGCCACTCCTGAAGGTACGTACGTTGTAAAGATTTTCTTGGACTGGATCACTTCTTGTCGTCCCCATCTCTGTCGTCCTCATCTCTGTCGCTTTCGTCTGTCGTCCTCGTCTTCGTCGTCTTTGGATTGGAAGCGGGACTGAACAACCATTGCCGATATTCTCTGACATCTCTGTTCCCATTTAGGACTCGGCGTCATGGTCAAATCCCCATGGCGCAAGTTGGCACTTGCCGCTTCCATTGTTCTCCCAGCGGCTATACAGGCTATTGACGTATGCCCCGGAAGATGTGTGGAAGCCGGCCCAAGCTCGGGCAACTGGTCCGTCTATCCCAACTTCAACATAATCAAGAGGTGCCAGCAGACCATGTTCTATGGCTTCTCTCTCTACGACCCTGTCGACGACCCCGAGTCCACTCATCGCATCGCGGCTTGCTCCTCCTATGGCACGGATTTCAACAACCTGGACGCGGAGCCGGTCGCCGCCAGGCTTCTTGACGCCGCCAGCCCTGTTGATGTCAAATTCAAACTCGGCTGGTGGCACGAGGGCTTTGGTCTGGCCAAGGCCGCTATCCGGTCGCTCGTGGCGCAAACTCGCGAGTACATCGACAACGGCCATGGAGCCTCGGATCGGCCTTTCATACTCTACGGCCGGTCTGGACAAGCAACTGTCGGTGTCTACATTGGCCGTGGTCTGCTGAACCAGGGCCTCAGCGGGTCAGCCCTGCAGATATTTGAGGACAACTTTGACACTCTCAATGTCACCACACCGAGCTTGGCCATGCAGCTCTGCAGCCCTGATTACGATGGCACCCACATCTTCGGCGTCATCGTTACCAGCAACGCCACCTTCGCTCCTATTCAGAACGCCATCAAGTCCTGGGCCAACGCCACATGCCTCTCCTTTGCGGATTCGCAGGAATTCCCCGGCAAGGCCACTTTCACCACGCCCCTTCTCAACGGCACTGTAAGCAACAACTCGACTACCAGCAACTCGACCTTCCTCGCTCGTTCCAACGCTCTCGAAACGCGGGCCGACTGCAGAACTGTCCAAGTCGAATCGGGTCAGGGTTGTGCAGAACTGGCAGTTAAGTGTGGCATCTCGGGTGCAGACTTTGAAAAGTTCAACCCCGGCATCTGCAGCAAGCTGAAGCCAAAGCAGCATGTCTGCTGTTCTCTTCCAGACTTCAGCCCCAAGCCCGGGGCGGACGGATCGTGCTTCGCGTATGATGTCCAGCAAGACGACAACTGTGCCAACCTCGGAGCCGAGTACAGTCTGACAAACGACGACATTGAGAGCTTCAACAAGAACACGTGGGGCTGGTCGGGCTGCGCCATGCTCTACACCAAGACAAAGATGTGTCTGAGCAAGGGAACGCCTCCGTTCCCCGCCCCGATCGCCAACGCTCAGTGTGGTCCGCAAAAGCCGGGCTCCAAGCCGCCGACGGACGGAGGGAAGATTGCCGACCTAAACCCGTGCCCCCTGAACGCCTGCTGCAACATTTGGGGCCAGTGCGGCATCACAAGAGACTTCTGCATCGACACCAACACCGGCCCGCCGGGGACAGCCAAGAACGGGACCTACGGATGCATCTCCAACTGCGGCGTTGAAGTGGTGAGGGGCACAGGAAGCGGCGCCATCAAGCTCGCCTACTTCCAGGGCTATGGTCTGGGTCGCAAGTGCCTCTACCAGGATGCGCTGCAGATTGACACTTCCAAGTACACCCACCTACACTTTGGATTCGGCACCCTGACGCCTTCCTATGAGGTCAAGGTCGGCGATGCACTTTCTTCATACCAGTTCAACGAGTTCAAGCGTGTCAGGGGCGCCAAGAGGATTCTGTCCTTTGGCGGCTGGGACTTCTCAACCTTTCCCGACACATACTTCATATTTCGTGAGGGTGTTAAGCCAGCCAACCGTATGAAGATGGCCACGAACATTGCGAACTTCATCAAAACCCACGAGCTGGACGGTGTCGACATTGACTGGGAATACCCCGGTGCACCAGACCTTCCCGACTTTGACCCTGGCAAGGCCGAGGACGGTCCCAACTACTTGGCATTCCTCGCCGTCCTTAAGAACCTCCTCCCCGGGAAGACCGTCGCTATTGCTGCGCCTGCCTCGTACTGGTACCTGAAGCAGTTTCCGATCAAGGATATCAGCAAGGTCGTCGACTACATCGTCTACATGACCTACGATCTCCACGGCCAGTGGGACGCACATAATCAGTATTCCCAGGAGAACTGCGACACGGGCAACTGCCTCCGTAGCCAGGTCAACTTAACAGAAACAAGAAAGGCGCTGGCTATGGTCACCAAGGCCGGCGTTCCTGGAAACAAGATCGTCGTCGGCGTCACCAGCTATGGTCGCTCGTTCCAAATGGCAGAGGCGGGCTGCTGGGGGCCTGGCTGCAAGTTCACGGGTGACCGCCTGACTTCCTACGCAACACCTGGAAGATGCACCGGCACCGCCGGGTACATTGCCGATGCCGAGATCAAGGAGATTATCAGTGGTGGCGGGGCCAAGCGACAGAGCCGCGTGGTGACGCATTTACTCGACGCCAGCAGCAACAGCGACATCCTCGTCTACGACAACAACCAGTGGGTCGGATACATGAGCGAGAGCACCAAGGCCGTCCGCGCCAAACTGTACGCAAGCTTGGGCATGGCAGGCACCACAGACTGGGCCAGTGACCTACAAGACTTCAACTCCGTTCCCAAGCCGGCCAAGGACTGGGCCTCCTTCATTGCGCTGGCGGCGAGCGGCAGCGACCCGAAGGAGAGCACTACGACCATCGGCAAGTGGAAAGACTTCACCTGCGAGACCGATGTCGTTGCCGATCCGTTCAGGGTGACACCTCAGGAACGCTGGAAGGCCGTGGATGCGGACAGCGCGTGGCGTGAGGTTGTCTCCAAGTGGTTCAGCACCGACAAGGACCAACACCTGACCTTCTCCGAGTCGCTCGAGCGGACTCTGAAGTCGGGTGCCTCCAAGCGCTGCGAGTCATTGAACGGGCAAAAGGACAACTGCGACGAGTTGATCGATTGTCCAAATGGCGCCAACGGTGACAAATCGGGCCCGGCGGCGCAGTTCGTCTGGAACTCCATTATCCAGATCCACAAAATGTACCACACGTATCGAACGACTCTGTTGCAATTGATAGGACCCTACGCAAACGGTGGCGATGAAATGGAGGACACCTTTGCGCCCATTCCCGAGGAGAAGACGAACCAGTGGCTAAACATATTGATTGATCTCTTGACGATTGGGACCCTCGGCGGCGCTGGCCCCTTTTTCAACGGATTTCTCAAGACGCTGCCGGCCTTCACGGACTCCAAGACGTTCGACAACACCAAGGACACCGTTCTGATGCTCATGGGCCAGACTACGACGCTGGCAAAGGACATGCTTTCGAGTCCAGATCAAGATCCCTGGACCCCTCAGGAGCAGAACAACTTCTCCAACTACATGAACCAGGTCATCTTCGGCTGGATGAATGCCACGGAATACACCCTCGGCAAGCTTCTTGGGGGCGAGAAGGAATACGTCACGGTGCTCGGGAACCTCATGTCGGAAGGCAAGCTCATCGTCGGGGCGAAGAAGGGTGACTCTCAGAAAGACTCCACGGCCGGCGAAATAGAAGCCAATCTCTTCAAGACCATCTATGGCTATTCCATCCCTGCCCAATGGCGACGCTCCAAGACGTACGCCTTCGTTCTTAACTCTGGTGAGGGCTGCAGCGGCAATCCCCTCAGCAAATATGTCGACGACGACACCGCAGAGGCCACCAAAGTCTGTCACGATGGCACGCTCTACTACCTCGTCGACCCGAAAGACGACGCCCGGATCTGCGAGTGTAAGCGGGTGACTGACGTGGGTCCCTGCCAGACCACCTGCCGGGACAACAAGTTCTCAGTGCCTGTAGGCCTGGACAGACTTGGCGACTTTGGTGGACTTTCCGTAGCCGATCTCGTCAAGGGCTCTGTCAACACGTGGCGTCACAACAACAAGGAGAACAAGCGCCTTAATATTACACAGATGGCGCTGGAGAAGTCAACCCAATCCGACCTGCTCGATATCAACATCCAGACTCCGGGGTTCGTTCAGCTTCCCGTCTGCAGCCCCGACCGCGCATTCCAGTCCTGGGAAACCGGCAAGAAGGGCGGCAGCGACAACTACCCCTGCGACATTCCTCCCGGCAAGGACCACTGCGGCGAATCTCCGTTCGAGAATCGTGGCAGCGATACCTCTCCCAAAGTGGAAGACTGCAAGCAGATCATCAAGAACATTGAGGGCGATGGCTCGACCGAGTTCACTCACCGCATCACCGGCCACCGCGAGATTCTCGACTTCGGCTCGTGCCACTTTGGGATTGAGCGTACCGGCGGCACCGGCGGCGCGGTAGAGTTTAGGGTCGGCGGGCAGGATGTCATTGATGTTATCAATGAATCCATCAAGCGGTTTGGCGGCAGCGGTAGGATTGGTGCCCAGGGAGTTATGCCTTGCTCCGGCACGACGGCTGGGACTAAGGTGAACGTGGAATGGGGCATCTACTGAGGACTGCTGATGGCGGTCACATAGAGCTGAATGCAACTGTCGTCTGTGTCTAGGCAGTCTTATAACGCTGACAGATGTTACTCTCGCGACATGATGTTAAATGCGTTGATTGATTGTCGTCTCTCTACACATCCCTCATTCTGTGAATAATAAGATACCTAAGGATTGCGATAATATTTGTTTAAGAGCTGAATGTAGAAATATACTGCTGATGTGCTGTTGATATTTCTACTCCTTTTTAACTAGGCATTAATTCCTCCATCTTAATACACTTAGGCTGCCATAAGTCAGTCTCATTCACCAACCAGATCGGCCCTCGTCCTAGGCGGGTACCACGGGAACCATACAGAAGCCCGCTGCCCCGAAGTGTAGCCGGTGTGAACAACCTCCACATCATCCAGTCAGTAGAGCTATGCCCAAGCAGCTGGTGCTGCGATACCGGTCGAACATCTCCGCTTCGTACTGATCTCACCAGCGGCCACATAGGAATGTAACACCGCTCATCCCATCTGCACACCCTCTCACACCTAATAAACTCTCCCTCCCATCCTACCCATGCCCTCAGCTCTTTGACTCCATCTCTCCACTGCCTAGACAGTCTTACTATCTTAAGTGATGCCCCCTTCTCAAGCGCATACCAGGCCTTCTCAATCTCAAAGCCGACTTCTAGTAACATTCCACAGATTCCACCCATAACCTCCTCAGCTGACTGTTTTAAACTACTTTCCCGTGAGTTGAGTGGCGTATTGAGTAGTCTGGTATATCGATATCGACACTTCGAATATGTGTCTTCGAAAAGCTGCCCATAGATGTTCCAAGTCTCCTTATCAATCTCATGGGGATACTCTAGGAACGACACTAGGAAGATATGGCTCTGCCCCCTTATCCTGTACAGCCAGTTCTTCACTTGTGTCACGTTACCCTCGTCCCCAGCCCAACGTATCGTCTGCTCCATAGCCATCAAGTGCCAAGCAATCTTCTGTGTGATTTCCCCCAGTGTCCCAGTCCATTCCATCCCACTACAATCCAGAGTGTCTCTTAGCATCTCCTCCGTCTCCCTCTTCAACTCTTTCGCGAGCTCCTCTGAAGCCCCCCCGAGATGATGCGACCTCCGCCTCCTGCCCAATTCATCCAAAGCCAGATCCCTATTCTGTTCCTTCCCCTCCCCAATCCAATATCCCTCAGCAGTTAGATTCAGCCTCTCCTGCTCCTCTTTCACCATCACACCCCAAAAACCCGGCGAGTACCAGCTTACGATTCCGCACGATAGGACCCTAGCCCTGGTCTCCCCCTTTCCCGGTCCCAAACCAGAAGACCCGTAGTGCCAAGTTGCGGACGCAAACCATCCCCATCCCTGACTCTTCAGAAACGGTTCGCGTTCTACGGGTCCGGTGACGTCGCGCCAGTTCGGAGGAGACGGCGGGTTTGTAGGGGTTCTTGATCGGTCTGTCCGCGTCGGCTGCGAGGGCAGCGGGTACACCGAAGTTGGCCCCTCCCCATCACCTCTCCCCACCTTCGCATCCGCCTGGTTCACCATTTGTATCTCTCTGTTCGAATCGTCTTCACCAGTATCTTGGGTCTGTGGCGCGGTCACATTAGTCCTACTGACCAACCTCAAGCTCTCAGTCCCAAAGTGACACCAAATTATCTCGAATCCAACGCTCATCCTCACGATACCTTCAATTCCTCCGGACCCCCCCAGCCCCCTCTCGTCCAACCAATCACACAAACCCGCCGCTCTCTGGTACTCAGGTTCCATCCCGTACCACTTATCCCCTTTACGTTGGGGGCCTGTCACGTTACCGTAGAGGTGTAACATCTGGGTGTCAAGCTGGCCTAACCCCACCAGCGCGGCCGACTCCCCATCGAAATAAAGGGCCCTAACAGAGCGGGTGGTCTGATAGCTCAGCATGAAGCTCTGGCGAGTACTTCCCATAATGCCGTACGCCATTTCTCTGTAGTGGCCGTCAGTGTTATCCCTTCCCGTTCAACGCAAAATCAAGCTTTGTCCCTCATCGTTCTCGAACTCAACTTGGTGTAGAAGATCACAGCGATTAAAAGAAGAACGAAAGATAGGTAGGTCTCACATGTCAAACGCGAGCCACTCCGGACTCGGCGGATCATCTTCATCCATTCTCCCATGGTACAGCAGCGTGAACGCTGGAATCTCGACCGCCGCCATCGTGTGCCCATTGGGAAATAGCGTGTTGATCCACTGCTGCAGAAGTCCGTACGCCGACGCGAAGAGATGCGGCGCTGGCGACGAGAAGTTGAAGCCCACCCCTCCTCCGGCCCTCAACCACCGACTACCTTGTATTGACGGTCCGGTCTCAATAGCCAGAGACTTTTGCTGCTGTTCAGGCTGCGCGATGCACAGCGTGAGCAAAAGAAAATAAATCTTCATGATGGACATTGTATACTGGTGAATATAAAGCATCGTTTGCATTGCGGGGTAAAAGAATCAAGATTCAATGTTAGAGTATTAGAAGGACGTCAATTTTGCCACACACCAACACACAGACTCGCGCATGAGCATTACCCAATGGGGCCGCCAGCGAACGCCCGGCGAGTCCTCGGATAATTAGAGCGCTAGCCTTTTCCCCCGTTATGCAAGGATAACAGTTAACCGATCAACTTGGGCGTCAGGCGGTCAAGACTGGACATGTGATCATGCGAACAGCAGGGACTCACTCAGAACGGGAGAACTAACATCAAGTGTGCGATGAACTACTCAGGTATCATCCGGGGGAACGCGTTGAGATCCAGCTGTCTACATATAACTATTAGCTGAATACAGACCATGGTGAGGAGCTGAAGGGAGTCAGACTGCCAGATTGGCCAGCACATTGCGCACTTAGCGAGGCTAGACGCTTCTCCCTCTTCGACGACTGAACGTCGTCTACTTCAATGACTCTCAGGCACCTGCTTTGACGGAAAGCAGCGGATGCGTGATGTGCACCTGGGTCACCAGTTAAACAGATATCTCGCTTCTCCATGGTTCCGCAAGACATTGTCAAATTGCGGTGGCTGTCGGGTTGTTGGTTCTTATTACGGCGGACAGCGGTGGCTCAACTGCAGCGCGCATTGCAGCGTTGCTAGTGCAGTGTCGGTGGTCTTCTCGCGGTGCACAAGCCTTTGCGCCGGTTGAAGCCAAATCAATACCAAAGTAACAGATAATTAGGCCTCGAACGACCGCAGGGTTACTATTAATACCAACACCTCAGCGGGCTGGGCGGCATGCACGCTGTTTTTATCATCTGCTAAAGTTAAGAGCTGTGGCTGCCCGTTGCCGTGGGAGGATACACTGGGAAATGGAGCCTTTTTCTAAATTGTTTGTTAGCGCGCGAGGCACCTTAATAGAGTAGAACCTGACGTTAGTAGGTCTCGCGCATTAAGTGCACCTCTGAATAGCTTTACTACTTAGTTAGTGGAACAGGATTTTTTGGCGTTTTCAGAGTTTAGGGGCATAAGTATTAAGGCCTCACATCGCGTAGGGTACATGTTACGACCCGTTATGCATGGATAACAGTTGACCGACCCACTTGGGCGTCGGGCGGCTAGGACAGGACATTTGTACTGCAGGATCACGGGAACAACAGGGACTCACTCGGAACGGGAGAACTATAGTACAAGTCACGTG